TATGTTATTGTTTGTTTGTGTTTGTTGTAAAAAATAAAAAATTTATAAAAAAAAAAAAGAAAGTAAGAAAACCAAGTCTGGTGTGACGCCACTGTCGCGAGTTGGGTTGCGAATAATCTGGGACAGGCCCATGGCTGCCATGGTGGCCATGAACTCCCGGGCTGCCTCCGAGGCACATCCGAGGGCCGGCACATTAAAGTCCCCCAGAACCATACATCTGGGGAACTCTGCTGCTAGCCCCGAGACTGCCTCCAGCAGCTCAGGCAGGGAGGCTGCCATGCAGCAGGGAGGCTGGTACCACAGCAACAATGCCAACTGTCCTCGCAAACCCAGCTTTAGAACAGGGTCTCACAACCGGCCACTTGTGGAGCAGCGCCCCTGAAAAGAGTCCCGGATGACAACCGCTACCCCTCCTCCCCTGCCCTGGGGTCTCGGCTGGTGCCAAACTGTAAATCCGGCCGGGCGCATCTGTGAAAGGGGGACCCCCCTGTAGGGCCCAGCCAGCTCTCGGTAATGCACGCCAGGTCGGCCCGCTCCTCGGTGATCAGATCACATATACGAGGGGCCTTGTTGTTAAGTGACCTGGCGCTAAGAAGCAGCAGCCGAAAGCTAGGGCCACCGTGGGTCTGCTGTCCGGGGCCTGGGTCTGAGTCCAGAGGGCCGAACACGACACCGGTAGCAAACACCGGGGGCGCCTTCCCTGAGAGCGGCCCGCCCTCTGACGCCTGTCATTAACATCCCCTGCCTGTCGCCACCTGGATGGCATAACCCGCCCGAACCACCCCAGAGCCTCCAGCCTCCGGTTTCCCTGGTACGAAGGAAGCACGCTGAGGGGCTCTGAGATTCTGAAAACGATTCCGGACAAAGGCCGCGCGTGAAGCGGCGGACGCCAGCAGAGTTTGCCGTCACGCAGAGGGAGACGGAGAGCCAGCGGTGTTCAAGCGCATGAGGTTTACTCCCCTGCCCTTCCCCTCTGGCTCCCTAGGGCCTGCTCTTGCTCTGCCCATCGCAGTGCACAGCGCCATGGGGCGGCCACTCCTACTTGCCTCGTTTCTCCTTTATGAGAAACGGGATCACTTTATAGCACGATGCCAAAATTCCTTCCCCCCAAAACCCAGAGGAGGGTTTAATGGCGGTTTTTACAGAGGCCCGAGAAGCAGCGCCAAAGAATCCCCAAGCGTCACTGCGACACGACGGACCCTGAAGCCCCCCAGCTCCAACAGAGGCTGGTGGCGTCCTCGGCCGGACAGGGGCCTCTCTGCCCCAGAAGCAGGCAAGGAAGAGGGACAGCTGTTGGGGCCAGACCCCCGGAGCGATCCCTGCTTCCCTCATCCCCTTGGCGGCGGCGGCAGCAGCAGCAGGGGAAGAAAAGCCTTTTCGCTGGGCCGTCCCCCAGAGGAAGCTTCTCCCCATTCCCCCGCCAGTGGGAAAGCTGCCTGCAGGCGTCGGCAGAAGCACAGGGCTGCAGGCAGCACTTCCACAGGGAACTCCGTGGCAACGCTGCCCGTGGCTTCCTCACAGGGTCGCTGGCAAACTGGCATGAAACTGCAGGCAGCCCTGTGGGGAAGCATCAGCTTTTGATGCAGGGGCCTGGCTGGAGGTCAGACTGGCCTCGCTACCGTTCCAAAACCATCAAAGATGGAACAGCTTCAGAAGGCTTTTCTGGGAGTTTTTACGTAATACCATCTTTTCCTTCTCATCTTTGCTGCGTTATTTTTCTAGTTTTGGAGCTGACTGTTGTTAGTTTCTGTTTGCCTTACCTGCAGTCGTGGATGTTTTAAATTGTTCCGTTTACGTTCTACGGAAGCCGCTGAGAGTCACGTGGATTGTGTCGGGATAGAAAAGTGTCCAATAAATAAATAAATCCTGGGGGTGAGGGGCGGAAAGCCGGTGTGTCTGGATGGCCCCCAAGGCGGGGGGGAGGGAGAAGCGGGGAGAACAGCTCCTTTGCCGCGCTGGTCGGGGCTGGTCTACGTCTTCAGGCTCATCAGCTGAAGAGCGGGACCCAACTAAGCGTCCCCGGGAAAGAACCCAGCAGCAAAGCTGGCCAAGGCCCTGGGCTGTCCTGGACTGGCCTACCCAGGGAGGCCGACCCTGGGCCCCTCCAGCTCGTGCCCGGGAGGCTGGCTCCCCCCCCCGGAGCTCTGAGACTCACCTGCTGAAAGGAGACACGTCTGGGCGGGGTACTCAGCCAGTGCCGTGACGGGCTCAGAGTTATGTGCCTCCACCGTGTACTGGACTCGGCCCGAGAACCAATCTAAGACACTGAGGGAGCCATTTCTGTGCCCTAGAATTGGCAGGAATCTGGTGTGGAGAGAGACCCCGCAGGGCACAATGGTGTCCCCTGCTCAGAACAGCTGCAGAACAGCAGGTTCACCCGAGCCCTTTCGGCCTCCCCCCGACGCCTCCCAGCCTGGCCTTTCGGGGCGCTTCCCTGGCCAAGAGTTCCAGCGCAGCATGGCTCCCTGAGCTTCGAGGGCCCTCCAGAGCGCCCAGAGCAGACCTCCCCGGGCGCTGGCTTGAGAAGCCCTGCAGGGGACCCAGCAGGGCACGAGGACCAGGCCGGAGGGAGCTGAGGCCGTGCGTTCCGGGGGCTTCCCTGCCCTACCTGTTTCTGTCCTGCGCTTTGAGCGCAGCCTGCTGCCGCTTCTTCCGGTAGCCTTTGCTCTGGGCCACTTCCAGCCAAGTGGCGTAGGCCTTGTCCGGGTCCACCACGTGGCTGTAGAGCAAGAGGCAGCAGGGCTGGGATTCCCAGAGGCTGCTAGAGAAGCTCCTCTTCACCGTCATGGGGCTGGTGGCCGTGTTGGCGCGCAGCACGCGGCCTTGCTCCAGCAGCACAAAGAGGGTCTCCCGGGGCAAGCAGTAGGCCACCTCCCGAGCCTGCGAGGGCTGCTCCAAGGAGAGGACTGACAGGGCAGCGCCACTCCGGGCCTCCAGCAGCCACACCGTGGAATCCTTGCACAGGCAGAGGACGCGGGCCGGGAAGTTGCCCGCCATCCTCAGGTCGGGGCAGCTGAGCCGCTTGGCCGGGGAACCCAGCAAGGTGTACAGCGAGTAGAGCTGGTGGATCTTCCAGAGGTTCAGGGTGTGCCCTGAGGTGGAGACAACGTGCGAGCTGGTGTGGGTCTTCAGGGACTCCACGGGCTCCGAGATGTGGACCTGGTCTACCTGGTCAACGGTGTTGAGGTTCCAGGTACGGATGGTCCCGTCTTGGGAGGCAGAGAAGATGAGGGGCCGCTGGGGGTAGATGGTCACAGCAGTGACTGGAGCTGCAGCAGAAGTGGGGGCCAGCAAGAGGAAGGAAGGTCTTCTCAGAGGGGTGGGGGAACGACTGCTCAGAAGCCCTTGGAGAGAAAAGGCACTGCCTAAGCAGTCAAGAGCAACGTGACAGCAGGGGGGCCATCCAACAGAAGTCAGAGAAACTCGAGAGGTCCAGCTTTCCCGCCACGTACTTTCAGGCTGATAGAAGCTTCACCTGTTGGACTTCTGGCAGCCCTGCAGCTCTTTTGCAAAGAGCCACACCTGTGCCTACCTCTTCCTCCTTGCCCTCAAGGGGAGCACAGAAAGGAAGGGCGGGCGTTGGGTGCCTCCTCCCGCTCAGGCGACAGGCACCCAGCAGCCGAACTCACCCGTGTGTCCCACAAAGACAATCTGAATGTGCCACTCCTTGTCCCACACCTTGATGGTCGTGTCTCGCGAGGCTGTGATTGCGCAGCCGATGGCTTCGCAATAGGCAAGGTCTGTGATCTCTCTGCGAAGAGACACAAAGGCCCCTGCAGTGAAGGCCACAGAGGCCACCTGCCTTAGCCCGGCCTGCCTAGGAGGGGAATCGTAGTCTGGCACTTCAGAGGGCTCTGAGCGGGATGGCGCCTTCTCCCTGCCTGGTGGGAACCACCAGGGGCCGGCCCAGCTCCAGGCCCGGCGCTGCGCCATCACACCGCCTCCCCCCTCCTTTGAGTACACGGGAGTCCCTGCCCAGATCTCTCCCTCACCCCCAATCTGGGCTCCCACCTGTCCGCTGGCAGACCTGGCAAAGGGCAGGAGCAGAAACGCGCCTTTTGACACCGTTCCCGTCTGACCTTCCCAGGTGCCTCTGAGAAGCACTGAGCCTTGTTGCCCGCGGGGGCTGCAGATGCCCCTCCCCAGTCACGGAGCCCTACCGGCCGTGCAGCTCCGTCTTGAAGGCCAGAAGGGCTCCCCGGGAGACGTCGAAGGCGGCCGCACCAGTGGCACAAGAGGCGAAGCAGCGGCTGGGCTCGCTGCTGCCGGCATCCAGGGCGAGGCGGCTGAAGACCTCCTCGTCCCCCAACCCGGCGCTCCCACTATCATAGCACTTGCAGCTCCGGAAGCCGAAGGGGAGGAGACAAAGGGCCAAG